ACACTTACAGTAAAAGTGTAGTCATCCTGAACCTCAGCCAAAGAGCTGGAGGTTTTGTAAGGCTTTTTTTTTTTTTTTTTTACGTTTTCCATTCTCTCCCTGCAGGATGCTGCTGCGTCACTTGCATTCTTCACCCCAGCCTAGCAGTAACTCTTTCCAGACTGCCAGCAGCAGTCCAGGCACTTACCTCCTGCTCCATCCCCTCTCCAAGGGCTTTGTGCATAGGGCAAGGGCATCCTTCCCCTCTCCCTCAGCAGAGAAGCTGCTGCCAGCTCAGACAGAGGTTCCCATCTTTCTGAAACATGAAAAACACTCATTTCTCTCTCACACTTTTTCAAAACTGGAGCAAAAATAGAATAGCATTTACTGCCATATGAGAGAGTGAGAATGGGAGGCTCTGGATAAGCATTTATAAAATATCCAAGGGAAATGGATGCCGGCAAAGGCTCTGCTGAGTGGGAGTGGGTGTACCAAAATGTATGTGTCAGGATGAGAAATGTATTTCTTGGGAAGGACATGGAGAACTGGCTGCTTCCCAGCACACAGCTCCTCCTGCGGCTCTTCCTGTGGGAGCTCTCTGCATTTCTTTTTAACACATGGACTATCTCCCCAGCCCACTCTTCTGAGTAGAAACTAATCTGTGTTTTGAGAGAGTTGTTTCTTATTAACTCTCTGAATGGGGAAAAAATAACCTCCACTCCCTGTAGTGGGAATTGCACAAGTCAAAATTTTACATTCCCTTTTCCAAACTCCAAAGTCATTCCTGGAAGGATGGGTTGTGGGTCAGAGAGGGGCTGTGCCCTCCTGCCACACCTGCTGTGAGAGCTGCCAGGTCTGGCTGTCAGTCTGAATGCATGATGAGAGCAGAGTAAAACTGCAGTCATGGCCTGAGCAGGGATACCCAAAATTAACATCAAAAGGAAAGGAGGGAGTTGTCCAAATACAGCCTGCAAACCTTTAATTCTGTAACAGTGGTATCCCGAGCCAGGTAATCTCCAGCATCAGTGTTGCTGCAGTAATGGAAGCAGCTGATTCTGTGGGAAGATGAAGGTTTCATGGAAGGTATAATAATCTATCTTAGATGTTTTAATTTTCCCTTTTCATCCCAAACATAAGGAGCAGAATTTCCTCCACTTTGAACGGGTCTTTTTATGTTCTCTTTTTACAATTGGGTAGAACAAAATCATGTTTCTTCAGTATATAAAATGAATCTGGCAGTCTGGTTTTGTACTTCAGCCTCCCAAAGAAACAAGCAAGCATAAAGCAAGAAGATACACTGCCTACTAAAATGTCCTACTTATTAAAAAATCCACAATAAAATCCTCTTTGAACATCCTGTTTCAACTCTGCAATAAAACTCACTGGTCAATTAACGGTGGATCTCCTGTTCCCATGGAGAAAGGCAGTTGCAGACTTAAGAGGTTGCTGTGGGAAAGGGGGGAAAAATAAAATTAAAAAGATCCAGTCTTGGTCTTGCAAACAAAGGTTGCCTTGGATTGCAGTCACATGTTGCAGTTCAGCTGATCTTGCTCATGCCAAAAGGGGAAAGATTTCTAGTACTTGCCTGAGCCCCACTGAACTGGTTTAGGGAATTAATTAGAAGAAAATTACTCACCTTTTGTGTTTTTTCCTATCTAGTTTCCTCTTAGATTCAACTACCCTGCCTTAGCTCACTAGGTCGGGGGGTCAGGGGCAGCTGGGACAGGATACTTGGCCATTGTGTGAATTTAACAGTAATTTAAAATTACACCACTGACAAATGTCTTCTGGCTTTTCCCAGCTGGGGAGGAAGAAGTCTCTAAGTACCCAAATCTGGGATACCACTGAGCTTTGTAAGTCCTACCCCTGGTGGCTGAGTTGCATCAGCAGTATCAGGGCAGAAGCCCCTGAAAGAGTGTTCTGGGGTCAATTGCAGTCCCCAGGCACATCAGATGAACTGATAAGCTGGTGTTGGTAAAAACCTCACCGTGCATATGTCTGCATGCAGTAAATAGTTTTGGCCTGGTCAAGCTCCTTCTCTAGGGTGCACCACTCTGTGCTAGAGGGAAATGTCCAGAAGACCCTCATATGGCTCATATGGACATCGTGTGAAATGACACAAAATCCACTGGTTTGGCTTCACAGGGTTGATAGTGAGGTAATGCACACAGAGGTGTGCATTACATGGCTTTTTGGGGCAAAGCCAGCATAACAGGTTTATCTCTCCTCCTGGGTGGTTTGCTCAGGCCTTAGGGCTCATTTCTGATCTTTATAAGGTGTATCAGGCCCCTGGGTTTCAGAGGGTCAGAGGATACTTTGACTGAAGCGTATGATCTCATCAGAGCCAAGTATTGAAAAACTTCCCAGGATTTTGTCGCTTTGCCCATGTGTGTTCTGTGTCTGGCTGTGTCTAGAGAGCTGCTGGGCTGGCAGTTGCCAGGAGCTCCACTGCCCAGCTCAGTCCAGGCTTTTGCTTCCTTGGTACCATGCCATGTACCTTTATTGTGGTGAAAAAAAAAATCTAGTGCTTGTTAGATCCCCAGACCTGTTCATTTTTAATAGGTTGGTGTTTTTGTTTTTTTTTTTTTCCTAACCCTGAGACATTATGGATTAGGGCTGCTGAATAAAAATAAAAGTGAAGAATCAAGTATGTTTATAAATTTTAGTTTTACAGTGAAAAGGCATATCTCTTCTTCTTGGCTGAGGTGGTATGAAATGCTTGCCCCATCCCAAGTTTCCTGTGCTCCCTGGTGGCTTCGAGATCCTTGTTTGCAGCACCCCATGGAAAAGATAAAAAGCTTTGGTGTGTGTTCCCTTCGGGGCAATGTGGATTTCTCCTCAAAAACCTCAGTTCTGGCGACTGGTTTATATAAATGCCTAAAAAATGAGGCTGTGCCTTATCTCTTGAGAGATCGTTGATGGATCCATTTCTCAGAAAGATATTTTATTCAGTCCTTTAATGCCACGCCACTCCCTTCATTCAGATGCCTGGAGTCTTTTATCACGGCTCCTCTTACTCATTGCTTAGCCAGGTTGGGCATATTTAGTTCTTTTAATCTTTCCTGCACCTCAGCTGTCTTTAATCATCTTTCTTGATGTCAGAACGTTTGATGCCCACTTCTGCCGAGAACAAGCCTAGGTTGGTTCTTTTTTAGTTGTGTGGTTTTTTTTTTTTTTAATTCTCTTTTTTTTGTGTGCGTGTGAATTGCTTGGGAAATGTCTCCGGCCGCTTGCCCAGGCTCATGCCTGGATTCCTCAAAAGCTCCCTCGAATGTCTCAGTGGATATTGAGGAAAATTTCTGGCTCACCATGTACACCACTGGACTTGGCACCCTCTGGGATTAATTAAAATGTTTATTTGTTGGGTGTGGGCAGCAGCACATTTGCCCCCACCAGATGTTGCATGGATTGTGTTTCCAGGGGCAGATTTCTCTGGGCATCTGGAGAAGGGTGCAGGTGCTGATGGTGTTTATAGAGAACAGGTCCAGAAAGGTTACTGTAACCTTTGTTTCCTTCCTGTACCTGCCAGCAACAAGGAGAGAGAGGTTTAATTGTTCCTATGATCTCAAAAGCAAAGCCTGATGGTAGCTTTATAGGTGCCTGTGCTGCAGGTCAGGGCAATGCTTCTCTGGAATCATGACCCCTTCTTGCTGCAGGTATTGATGCTGTCCTTCCTGAGTAGTTAATCTGTTTTGCACCCAAAAATAGTCATTCAGAGCTTCCTAAATGAGTTTGAAGGTGAGGATTGCTGCTAGCTGGTACCAGGCTGAGCACTGCATCCCTTCAGGGCAGGGTCTTCAAACTCACTGTCTGAAGCTGATGTGTGAAGGTGTCCAAAATTCCATCCACATACCTCCTGGATACCTGCTATTTCCATGGGAGCTGTTTTCTAAAGCCTGATTCAATTATTTTCTTCAAATAGGCAGGCTTAGATGCTGACTGGAAGGGGCTAAGGCCCTGATCTCCAGGTTTGCTGGGTCTAGGCCATGGCTGTGCAGCCAGGGGTGGCTTCCCTGACATGGACTTTGAATTACAGAGCACTTGGCAGGAGTTAAAGAAGGCCAGAAGCTGCCTCTCCCTCCCCCACCTCCCATTAGGAGGGAATGCTTCTCATACTCTCCCAAATTTAGCAGTGCAAATGTGGCTGGGTTTAAGTAGGCTGAGCTGTGAGGAGATTTTGACTGTGATAAAGGTCTCCTTCCCTCCTCTGCCTCACACTTACACTGCCTGTGTGATAGAAAGCTGTTTGATATATGGCTGTGTGAATTGTTGGTTGTGCCAACAAGGGCTTTGTGGCCTGAGAGGATGGGGACCTGGATGGTGGGATAGAACAGTCTGTGAGGACCACCACCCAGCAGAGCACTGAGAACCTGAACATGCTGCTGCCTGATGTCCGCGTGGCTGTCCTGTTTGACTCTTGGGCAGTAACGAGAGGGCTCAGCAATGTCTGGAGGTCACCATGAGGAAAAGCCACATCCTCTCCATGGTGACACTGGGATGCTCTGGGTCATGGAGCTGCTTCCATTCCTTTTCCTCACAGCCCTGGGCCACCCAGGCTCCCTGTCACTCCTGTCTGTATTTCCTCCTGTTACTCCTTAGGAGTGTTTGAGGGATTGCTCTGGAGCTGCCAGTGAACATCTCAGGAGGACCTTGACAGGCATTTTCATGCCACTGGGTCACTGTGGGAGTCCAGCATGGGACAGGCTATAGGGCTCCATCACTGATGCCTGAACTTTGCTGGCTGCAGAGGAATATGCTGCCGCTTCCGCCATGTCCCTTCACCAATTTATATATTTATACATATGTATGCATATATGTATATATTTAAATAAGTAATATGCATTAAATAGATTTATAAATATTTAAATGTATACATAAGCTGCTATTTATATAAACTATAATTTATATATAGTTTCCACTGCAGCCTTATGTTGAAAAATTAAGGCAATTGAAGGTTTTTGGTTCGAGGGAGGGGACAAGATTGAGCTTGCTGACATTTCTTTTGTTGCAATGTTATACAGGTCTCGATTGACTGCAGAAAGGAGAAGGGAGGAGCATGTCAAAGGGAGGTCAGATCCTGCCAGGGTTTCCTGGCAAATGAGGTGAGTGGTGATGTCTTTCAGCACTCATAAGCCTGGAGATAGAAGCCCTCTGGGTCTTCCCTGAACCCTTTGTGTGAGACCTCTCCTGTTGATCCTCCAGATTTCCTTTTGGTACAAGTTTCACTGTGTTTGCCTCTCCAGGCCTGATGGGAGGATTGTAGACAGCTGTTGTGCTTGGGAGTCTCAGAAGGGCTGGAGACTCTCTGGAATACTCTCTGGAATATGTTGGGGTTTGTGCATCACACAGGACTTGTTTTGGGCTGTATTTGGGCTTCACAACAGGGGACTTTACTTGTCTGGGTTTAGAGAACTCTGCTGCAATTACCTGCTACTGATCCAACCCCCCCCCCTGCCCCCAGCCTCCTTTTACAGTCACTGGAGGGAAAAGGATATTTTTAGGAAGTGTCTGACCCTGACCTGCTGTAGGCATCTGAATGGATTGAATCATTCCCTACAATACCTGTTTCTCTGCATTGTCAGCACAGCCAGGGCAGCTTGTTTGGTTGTAGGGTCTGCAAGGTGTGTAATGTCTGTACCCTGTGTAGGAGGACTGGAGTTCAGGGTGCTTGCTTGTGGCTTGGGGTGTCCAAAGCCACTGCATGAAAGCTTGGCCTCTCCTAAGCTGCCCTTAAATTTTCTTCAATGTTTGGACACAGCTTAAATCTGTGAGCCACTTGTCTGAGCCTTCTCTCGGCAGTTATACACCCTGACTGGCAGCATATGTGCATTCCTGAAGGATAGGGTATGATTGCTGAGGAGGTTTCAGTCCAACTGGGTCATCTCACACTGGCTGTTGCAGCCCCAGTGAGAATCAGCAAGAGATTACAGCCTCAGGAGTTTATTCCAGCCCCAGGAGCTGCTGCACTAAGGCCCAGTGAAGCTGCTGGGGCTGCACTGTAACCTCCTGGGAACCAGTCCTGGAGCTGCTCTGCTCTTTGGCTTTCTCAGTGATGTGGGTTGTGGCTTTTCAGCCACAGGAAGGTTTGGAACAATGCTTGCCATCCCCCCATGGGAACCTGACACCTGTAGAGGGAGCATCCACATCCTGGTACCTTGGCTAAGGTGCAGAATCCCCCAGGAGTGGTTCTGTGAAGAACTGGGGCCTGCATGTCAGCTCTCCGTTGATTAGAACCTCCATCCAGAGCTTTTGTGCACATCCCTGCATCTCTCAGCCAGGAGAATCCTGCACAGACATCTGCCTGACTTTGCTAGGCCACTCCCTCTGCCTCCCCTCCTAGTTCTTGGAGGTGGAGATGTGTTCTGCTTGTGTTTGCAGAGTGCTCAGCCTGGGCTGGCTCATCCCTACTGCAGTGAGGCTAAATATTGACAGTGGTTGAAATTTAGATGTACAAGGTGTTGTACCTAAGCAGAGGTAACTCTGGAAGATTTTTGGTGTGTTTATGCTTCTGCTGATGCCCTCAACATGTTTGTTCTCTGAGGGCAGTCTGTTCAGAAATTAGGATTGATGATGATGGTCCGTTGTCAAGATTATCACCTTTAAGTCAAAGAACAAATATAATTTGCTGTAGTACATCACTCTTGTTTAGTTGTAATTGGGCAAAGGAAATGTGTGTGTGTGTGTGTGTTATTCTTCATTTATTTAATGTTTTCTCTGTAATTTACTGTTAGCTTTTCTGTATTGCTGATAATTGGAGTGTTTTCATTGCCACCCTGGAGAGAGGAATCTCTCCTTTTTATAGCACGGGAAACTGTCACAGTGAAATGATGGAGTGGTTACTGTGTGGTTACTGCTGCCCTTTGCCAGAGCCTGGCACATCCCTCACCTGCCTTCTGTCTGTCTGTCTGCCTTGGGGACCAGAAGATGTTGCAGGGACTCACGGTGCCCTTGTATTTGATGCTTGCTTCTCCCAGTGGTCTCTTTGCTCTGAACTGTGCCTCGATTCTCCATCCAGAGAGCAGGAATAAACTGATTCTTTGGAGTAGGTAGAATTGGTGTTAAGGATGAGCAATTTAACGGGAGATGCAAGGGCTGTGTCTAAGAAGGGGGGATGCTTTTTGTAGTATCAGTGATTCGAGGAAACAGCCTCATTTTTACTTGGCTGCTGGACATCTCTCTGGGTTTTCCACAATTAAGTTCACTCCATCTGGCTTTCTTTCTCAGTCACTCCGGTTTTTTTGAAGCATTTTTGTGCTGGGCTGACACTGTGGATATCAGCAAGGATATTCAGGGCTCATGAAATGCAAAGCCAGGAAGCTTTCTCTGCTTTCTTTGAGTTTAGGATTTCCTTGAGCTGGGATGCTTTGGGATTCTGGGACATGGTAAGCAGGAGAATGTTGTCATCTCCATCTTGACCAATATGAAATGAGCAGCCTGCCTGACGTGAGGAGGGTTTTGCAAGCCTCAGTGACACCATTTAAGTACTCGGAAGGGTTGTGAATTGGGGGTGGGTGGAGAAGGAGGTTTCTGTGTGCTTCCCGGCAGCTAAAAGCAGGTGTTCAGTCATCTGAGAGTTGCCCTAAAGGCAGAGAATAAGGATGCAAATGATCTGTGAAACATAAAAGGAACCATCTGAATGCCCCTTTTCTTGGTTTACCTCCACCCTGGGTAGTTTGCATGACACAGGTTGATCAACCCTGAGAAAAAGCAGTTCTGTCCAACTGGAGAAGATAACTTTGTCAAACCTAACGACCTTGCAAAGAGGCGAAAAAGCAAAGCCCAGAGCCAGGACACAGACGGAAAAGTGTGGGCTGTGGCTGTGCTGTCTTGGTGGAGATGTGGGGCCCTGGTTGGCACCTGTGGGGTCCCTGCTTCCCCCAGCTTTCACAGCAGCCCAGCTGAGTCAGAGGCGGTCCCAGAACGGGTCTGTGATTGCAGCTTCAGCCCTCCTTGATGAGGCAGTGTGGGGAACACTGGGTGAGCAGAGCCCACCCAGCCCCTGCCCCAACAGGCAGCACATGGGACTGGCTGCTTTACACCCACCTGGAGCGGCTTCTAGGCCGAGCTTTGCCTCATCTCTGATGCACTAGCAATGCACGAATCCAAGGGGTTGCTGCAGCTCCAGGGCTGCCTGCTCAGGTGGGGACAATGCCTTAGCTCGAAACTGGTGTGGATTTAGGATCCTCCTTGGCCAGCCCTGAGATGCTGAGTGCAGGGTGGAGCAGTGCTCAGCTGTTGCCTCTGATCATCCTCCTCAGTCGAGTTCTACACCCAGCCTGCATTTGCACCATATCCTAAATGAACTTTTAACAGAGTTCGTTTCTTTGCTGTGATTTGGACCTGCACATGTGTCTCTTGGGTGTTGTCAGCTCAGCTGTAGCTGCAGATGGCTGGTTTCCCCCCACCTCTCACCTGTGCTCTCCTGTCCTGTGGGTGACCTCTTCATTTCATTGATAGTTTCTCTAATTTTCCCAGTGTTAATGAGTTTTTCCCCAACTACCATCCCCCGCTTCCCCAAAGCCAAGACATTGACTCTTGCACTGTGAGGGATAATTGCTTATTTATTTTGTGGACTGCACCTCCCTCTTTCTGATTTCACTTGATATGTGCAGGATGTGGCGATAAAAATCTGTTTGAGCTGTCTCCTGTTTCAGACATTTTTGCTTCTTTAAAGTAGCTTCATGGGACAATGAGTGTGTACAGGGCTGCTTGGATAGGAAAGTGGAGAGGGAGCAGCAGGCTGAGCCCTGTGCTGTCTGCATGCTCCATCCTTGCACCCAGGTGCTTGAACAAAGGTTTTGAGGTGTTCTGTCCTCACAGAGCAACTGATACAAATCGGGGGGAAAAAAATGTGACATTGTTCAGTCTACTCTCCCTTCAGCTCCTTGCAGACTTCTCTCCAAGATCCAGCTGCTTTCCATCAGCAGCTCCCGGGGTTGTCTGGGCCAGCCGGCAGCTTGCCATGTTCAGTGGTGACACGTCTGTGTCTGGAGAGAGCACAGCATCCCTGTGGATCTGTGCAGTCTCCTTTGCAGACTGCCTGGTGTGTATGGCCCTGTGGCCCCTTCCAGCCTTTCCCATTCTGTCATTCTGTGCCATTCTCTGTGTTCATGGAGGCCATCCAGTTGCAGCCTGCATATATTTAGCTGAACCAGGTGTTTTCTGGCCTTTTTTTTATAGGTTTTGCATCAGTGGTTTGTTTGGTTCTGCTGTTTCCTCTTAAAGTTAATGTGGTTTACTCACATAAGTTAACAGTGTCTATGGGTGGTTTACTCACATGCATGAAAAAGCTGCTCTCAGAGGTGGTTTGTATTGTCTGTATTTTTATCTTGAGTGTCTGATCTGCAGCATGTCCTGCAGAGATGGCTCTTTTGGGGGGATATTGCCAGTGTTTGGATGCTTTTCCTTAATAAATTTGACTCATTTGAAGAAAACTGTGTTCATTTTCTGAATTATGAAGTTGCGTATTGAAAACCATTATGGAGTAAAGGGGGCTGAGGTCAAGAAGGGTTAGTTATGAAAACTGGGGTGTATTCTGCTAACATCTCAGTGCCCCAGGGGTAATGCTTCTGAGCTGTCACCCTGAGTCATAACTGCCTGCCCCAGTGCAACTTCCAACCAAGGCAGTGTCACATTAGAGAACTGGCATGGAAACTGGAGCCTAGAGGCTTGAGGGGCCTCAGTGATGGGGCTGCTGGGTACATGATGCTGATATACCCCCGTGGAAAGGGGGATTAAAAATTGGGCAGGAAAACACAGGGTCCAAGCTGCCGAATGGCTGCATGTGTTACGTTTCCTTTTTTATTTTTTTTTATTCTTCCTCTTTTGTTTGTCTGTTTGCCTGGATTTGGATTCCTTCCAAAATGAGGACCTGAGAGGTCTCTAACAGCAATAAAGGGAGCTCATCTGTGGAGGAAAGGGTTTTACCCTTATTGCACCCTTAAGCAGACTGACTGGGAGCTGCTGACTTGGGATGAGATGGGTGGTGGTTTTCCATCTTGTCTTTCTGCATGGTCATGACAGGGAGAGCTGATGTTCGTTCTAATTGGGAATGTGTAGTGACATGCCAGGAATACATCCTTGCTGGGTTGCATTCTTCTGT